ATGTTTTGAGAAACGATGTACAAATGCGCTTTACACAATTGATGTGTGTATGGATTGGGATAACAGTTGTATGAGCCCCTAATAAAATGTTAAATAAAAAAATAAAAAAACAGAAAGAAAAAAAAAATTAGGTGCCTTGGGCGATATTCGGGTCAGCTTATACTCGAGTATATACGGTAGAATATAAGTATTATATTCTAATCAAGGTTATATTATATTCAAAGATTGTGTTATAGTCAAGGTGAATGCCTATAATGTAGGGCAGGATCAACTTGAATAGAATTTGCTAAATCAAAACACAGAAATTTAAAAATATTATATAATTGTGATTTTAATTTTGTGTTAATTTTTCGCTAGATATCGGTGCCCAGTTGTTTGGTTAAAGCTGGTCTAGAAGGTGCTGTGAGGGTATTTTGTTGGTGTGATTAGCATTTACGGTCCATCAACCCTTAAAATAAAGGATGATAAAGTAGGTAGTTCTCAACAAATTAATTAGAACTTTAACAGCAAAAATGGAAGTTTCTCAGAGGAGAGAGACCCTGCCTGAGTTTTTGTTTGACTTGTCAGTCCCTTGAGTGGTGTGAGCCCAATCACTGAAATTACAAAGTACACATGTGTGTAAATAAAAACACAAATAGATCTTATTGGTTCTCTATATTTGTGGAGCCCCATATGATATAGTAATCTAAGAGTAAATATTATGATACAAAAGAAAGACTTTTAGGAGTTTTTTAAGATGTTATTCATCAGTATTTATTTAGAAAAAAACATTTCAGAGGAAAATACCCACTCAACAAGTGACTTAAAGAACAGAATACTGAGTGTTAATGAGTAACATTCACAAGAACAAGGATCTAAGGTCCTAACTATTCAGCAGCATCAATAAATCAAGATTGTCCAGGAATTACAATAGTTAATTCTTTGCTTTCCCTCAACTTCCTCTCTTGTAGCTTGTCTGACACTCTAGGTACCTGCTAAATAGAAGGTAGGATAATGGTGACTTAAAAGCCATTGAATGGCTAAATTTTTGTCCATTTTATCATGAACTCAGCTCATGACAATCAGTGTGCAAAATGCATCGGCAAGAGGAAACTCCATTTTCTTGCCTCCTGCCTACTCTCTGCTTCTTTGTGAAGGGTCTGCTCTTTAATTACTTTGAATAAGGGGGGAAAATGATGCTAGCAAACTGCTTCATGCTTCGCAGTACAGAGTTTCATATAGTTTCATTAGAAGACACTAAAATTTTATATGCGAGTAAAGGAAAAATGACCATAAAGAAGATAATGGTCCTCAAAAGAAGAGGTTACAGTACTGAATTTTAAAAAATGATAGGAATCACAACAATGCTGTCTACAATGATGATAATTTAGTGCATTCCCATATACAATGTGTTATAAATTATGCTTTATCAATGTCACTAGATATGTGGGCGCAAGGTAAGATCATTGCATGTACCTTGCAGATTTGGAATTAGATATATAGAGAGGGATTAAGTGATTCACTATAAATACATAACACAGAAATGCCAGAGCTCATAGGCAGCTTTCTTGTGTGCTCTATTCCAGTCTCTGTTTTGAAAAAAACATTTGTTTCATTCATTTTA